CACCTGGCCAGCACCATCTCACAAACAGTGTGCGCAGTGCGCGCCCTGCGCTTCACCTCGATGGCAAGGATGCCGAACAGCAGCACCTGGTCAGGATATGGATCTTCAAAGCTTCGCTTTTTGCCCTTTCGGTCTCCCTCTTGAACCTCGGAAAGGGTACCCTCAAAAATACCCCGCCTGGATGGTGGCGCCGCTGGCGTACCAGAAGGGCCCCGACACGCCGTAGTTCCACGCAACGTTGGAGGACTGGAGCAACGTGGCCGCCCAAGTCCACTGCGACACAATCACCGATGCGGTGAGTCCGGTCTTCACAGACCGGCCAGCCGTGTTGAAGAACTCCGACGTGTGCTCCGTGTTGTTGGCATACTTGTCCAAGTACACCAGGACTGTGGTCAGAACGGAGAAGAAGGCACCGAATCCCAGCACGATGGCGTACCCTGATTCCAGGGGCAGCGGTGTGTTGCTTCCGAAGAAGCTGGTCTTGCCCACGTACTCCGGGGCCATGGTTGCCATGGCTGCTCAAAGATCGATCTGATCTCTGCCCCAAACTGTGATCCGCAAATGCTTCACGGACACGACTCTACTTTCCGCCTCTCAACGACTCTGCTGAAGCCCAGCTTCCGTCAACAAGGCTAATCCTGATTCGCAAGCCTTCCTGCGTGCATGAGCACCAAGATTGCTACCCCAAAGAACAAAGCCGGAAACACACGACTCCACAACCCACAACACGAACGCATCACCAAACGCCAGCTTGGGCGGGATCAGGGCATGCGCAGTACCCAACTTTTCTTGCGTTGCTGCAGGTTTCTCGAAGTGCCAAGGTGCCTTTGCGTGGAACCAAGTACTGGAAAAGGAAACTGCTGCTCAGCATTTGCTGAGCAATGTGCAGTAGCTCTCCAGCTCGACATTGGCCAAAATCAGATACAAGGTCAAGGCTCAGTTGTGGCTCACACGCCCGAAGCTCCACTTCGTGTGCTCGGAGCCGCACTAAGATAAATATGAAAAGTAGATCTCCCGCTGCCGATGTGTTGCATCAGCCAGGCGGCCGGAGTCTTTGCAGGAAGTGCCCTTGGGGCCAAAAATAGTATAACTTCACGGAAACAATCTGAGGCTAGATGGCCTGTTCGTCCGCCTTGGCTTCCGGCTCCGCCGGTGCAGCTGGCGCCTTTGCCGGGGCCTTCTTGCCCACGATGAAGTAGCACACCCCGGTGATAGCTTCCATGGACTCCTGAATTGGCAGCACGATGATCACGAACGTGGCCACGAAACTCCAGGCGATGCTGATGAAGACCCAGAAGGCAAAGTAATCCTTGGAGAAGACACCCGCCGGCAGAGACAAGAGCGGCCAAATCACCACCATCAAGACGGTGAAGCCCCAGCCCCACTTGGTGATCCAGCGCTTCGCCTCATCCAGGAACTGGTCCGTGTAGTCCTTCTCGTCCAGGCCGCTCATGTCCGCCTCCAGCATTTCGATCTTGCCCATGGACTCGAAGTCGTAGTTCTGCGGCCACATCAGCGAGAAGCCAGCGTGGATCAGCGCGGACGAGGCCAGCGCCACGATGTTGCCCGCCAGGTTCGGGTTCAGAGTGCCCAGGTTGTCCACGGTGATCTCTCCGAACTCTGCCGCACACACAATCAGCCAGGTGGCAAGCGCCAAGACCATGCCGCCCCAGGCCGCCACCACGGCCCCAATGGCGTTGGCATCCTTCCACATCAGCAAGTTCCACAGGGGGACCACCGCCGAGCCGATGGCGTTGCCCATGAACTGGTAAACCCAGCCCAGGTTCAGGCCCATGTAGTTCAGAGCCACACCCAGAGCACCCATCGCCAAACCGAAGATCACCACCACCACCTTGGAGATGGTCAGGGCCTGCTTGCCCGTGCACTGGGGGTTGATGTAGGTCTTGTAGATGTCGTAGGTCACCAGGGACGACACCGCGATGCCCTCGCCGAGCCCGTGGAGGTGATGGCCATGAACAGCATCACCGCCATCATCACGGACCCGAAGCTGCCGAAGAGGTGCGTGGCCACAGCCGGCGGCACTGGAGCCCGAGCCCGCCTCCCAGAGCTGATGGGCAGCTGCAACGCGACTGCGGAGAGTCCCAAAGACGTCGCCAGGGCAAACGGGATGGTGAACCAACAGGCCGCCCAGCAGGTAGCCCTTGTGCGCGCTAGTGGGCTTGCGGCAATGGCAGACTATAGAGCAGGACTGGTCCACGAAGACTGTGCCAAAGTTGCCCACGATGTTGATAATGCCGAACTTCAGGCCGCCGCCGGACAGCATGGTGAGGTAGGACCCGCCCTCATTCTCGGGCACAGGCCCGCACGAATACTTGCCCGCCTCAAAGAAGGTGGTGCCATTCGCGCTGTAGAGCGCCTCGCACTGCGCCGTGGTGTAACCGGACACCGTCTGCAGTCCTGTGTAAATGAGGTCCGAGGAGAACTCCTTCACGTAGACGGTGTACACGCAGACCACCAGAACCAGGAAAATGATGGCGGTGTGCAGGTAGGAAGCCATGAACGTGGCTTTCAAGCCACCGGCCGCCGTGTAGAGGATCACTCCCCATGGGATCAAGAAAGAAGCCAAGTCCGTGTTCACGCCGGTAAGTGCGTTCACAGTGGCTGCCCCTCCCAGCAGCAGCATGGACGTCACGATGATGTTGGCCAGCAAAGCGAAGAAAAGGAAGGTCAGGTGAGCCGGCTTGCCCCACCTGTGCATTGTGTATGCTGAATTGGCTTGTGTTTCAGGACTGCCCTCTTTCCCCCGTTGTATCTTCCCAACATAAAAGGTACAGTGTTTGACCACTGTAGATCGTACGGCGTCGCAAGGGCCGTTCTTCCACAAAGACTTGGGCTGAATTGGGGCGTGGCTGAAGAAAGTCGGCCCGCGGTTTTGTCGGTCACCACCCACCTGGCCAGCACCATCTCACAAACAGTGTGCGCAGTGCGCGCCCTGCGCTTCACCTCGATGGCAAGGATGCCGAACAGCAGCACCTGGTCAGGATATGGATCTTCAAAGCTTCGCTTCTTGCCCTTTCGGTCTCCCTCTTGAACCTCGGAAAGGGTACCCTCAAAAATACCCCGCCTGGATGGTGGCGCCGCTGGCGTACCAGAAGGGCCCCGACACGCCGTAGTTCCACGCAACGTTGGAGGACTGGAGCAACGTGGCCGCCCAAGTCCACTGCGACACAATCACCGATGCGGTGAGTCCGGTCTTCACAGACCGGCCAGCCGTGTTGAAGAACTCCGATGTGTGCTCCGTGTTGTTGGCATACTTGTCCAAGTACACCAGGACTGTGGTCAGAACCGAGAAGAAGGCACCAAACCCCAGCACGATGGCGTACCCTGATTCCAGGGGCAGCGGTGTGTTGCTTCCGAAGAAGCTGGTCTTGCCCACGTACTCCGTGGCCATGGTTGCCATGGCTGCTCAAAGATCGATCTGATTTCTGCCCCAAACTGTGATCCGCAAATGCTTCACGGACCGCATGAATCTGCCAGGACGAGTGTTCATTTGCATGATAATCACACACTGTGAACATGACTTGTTCAAGACACGTGACTCGCAGGGTCAACGCGACAAAAGCATTTTGAGTCTCGAGTGCACGCTGATCGCATCTGCGCAAAAGGGCCTCAGCGAACGCAATTCCTCGGTGGATTCTCAAAATGAAATCAGCTTCAAGGAAGTGCAGGACAAACATGTCGCGGGGATCTGAAACACAAGTTCGCATGTATGTGTGAGAGGCCAAGCCAATGCACTCTTGAAAATGTGTCACACGCTTGACTCACTGAGGATTTGTCTTTGACTTACTTTTGCCGGGAAACAGTTGTCATCCTCCAAAAGATTGAAAGGTAGGTCAAAGCAGAGGGCAGCGAAGCACATAGATTACACAGAAAGGAAACGGCCGGACAATGCTTGCCAGAATGCTACGCCGTCTCGAAGTCGTAATTCCTTGGCATGGATCTGCCAGTGTCCATATATGTTAGCAGTCAGCTGGGAATATATTTTGATTGGGGACCCTTTGGTGGACATCAACAATACATGCGATTATATCCACCAACCATTTTTGAGGGTTCTCCCTATTGTAACGTCACCGGCACAAAAGGAAGCTTTGCTGTTTTGGCGGGCCCTTCTGAATGTGTTTCAAGGGAAACCAAAGGAAACCACCCATTTTGGTCTCCCCTACTCAAACACTTGAACTCGGTCCCAAAGCAGGCGCCGTCCCTTGCTCAGCGTGCAATTTGCGCTCGTGCCTTCTTGGCCTGCGGTTTGCCTTTTGCAACATGCCGAAGCTTGAGCAACCACCAGTGCCAGTAGTCAGTGCAGAGTGGTTGTTTTTGGAGCAAGTAGACCGGTCCCCCTAAACTTGCCTAGCCGCCCTTTCCAATTCAGGGCCCTCTATTTGTCCGCTAGCTAGGGAGAAAACCAAAGCCGAGTCTTTAAACCTTCAGCAGCGCCACCTGGAATCCTTCGTTCTCCCTGCCCTCAAACTCCGCGGGGGAAGTGGACTGCTGCCAGAGACTTTTTGAGACTTAGGTAGCCTTCCAAAACCGTAGAGTGCAACACGCACCTCTTTCATGTCCACTTTGAACATCATCTCTTGAAAGTACTTGAGAGGCGGCTAGCCGGCCCAGCAACAGCATGCACGATCAAGTCATTGCCAACATATTTGCAACCGGAAATGAACACCAGAAGCCAGGGCAGGGGGCGGACTCCCGCTAGCCAGCTTTCGTGAAAACTAAAGTAACGACGCAAAAGGTGACAGTGACGCTCAAACCACCTCAAAACAGAAACCTAGTTGGACCCCTGAAAAAGGGCGACCTGGTTGCATGACCCTGGTCGCATAATCCCGGTTTTAGTTGTTACTTGCATGGCCACCAGCCCGCCAAATTCAGAGGGCCCGACAACCGGTTTCAACAAGGATCTCAAGCCACCGACAAAGGGACATCTAGTTGGGCACAAACGACCCTGCCTCTTTTCTGCCAGCCTACAGGCGGTCTCCCTACGCCAAAAGTGCCGGCTCCCCGGAATCCGCTTGAAGGTCGTGGGGCTCCTGCTCCCTTGCCAGCGCGTCCGCATGCTGAGCCTGCTCCAAAGGCCCGAAGTCCTCGGAAGGCTCCGACTCCAAGTCGAAGGCTCCCAGCTCCTGGGGACTGAAGCTGGACCTATCACAGGCTTTCCCTTTGGCCGGCGAAAAAATAGGCTCAGGTGATATCCCCAACAGCATGCGGTCCTCTTTTTAGTGCTCGCGCCACCCCGCAGCCCTTACAGAACCTCATGGAACCCCGGTGGAACCCCGGTGGAACCCTGGTGGAACCCTGGTGGAACCCCTCGTGGAACTGTCGTGGAACTGTCGTGGAACCTTACCTAAGGGCCAACCCCTCCACTGGACCTTGTCTGGGGTCCACTGATTGGGAGCAAGCGCCGTTGCACACAAACTCCACTCCAGGCACCAAATGCACGAAGCCCCATGAATCCAGGTACGAAGTGATTCTTGTCCATCCACATACAGTAACGTTAAATTTCAATTGATTGGGCTTTTGTCGTGAGGTTTCCTGGTGAGGGAAACCGGGCCCTGTCTTGAGGGATATACAAGGCTGGCTGGCCTTGCTTGATATTCAGTAAGGAATACCGATACCAGACACACTCGGGCTAATACAATGATTGGGGAAATTTCACCTGTCGGACGGGACCCGCCGCCTCATCTCGCAATCAAAACCTGGAAAGCGGCCCACCCAAAACTACGTAAAGAACGAAAGGGACCTATTGCTGGCTGCTTTCCCGGTTTTGATTGTGGCTCATCTCACCTCACTCACTCAAATACAAAGGCCACGTTCAACTTCCCCTTGGTTGGTGGCTTGGATTGTTGGTTTGGTGGTTAAGGCGTGGTTTCCCATTTACCCTCTACAAGAACGGGTTCAAATCCCCAAACTTAAGATCCAAAATCGCCAAGTCGGTACCCTGACGTTTGGTTCCCTAACCAACACACACGGCTAACTACCCCCCAAAATCTCTGGTCTAGCCTTTGTTCCGCACCCCCAACACAAAACACATGGCTAACTCCCCCCACCCAAAAAAACAAAAGCAAAAGTTCGGTTTCCGTTTGGTGCCCCCTGGACTCCGCTCCGGGAGGTAGGCCCCGCACGCCACCATGGCGCTCTCCCGGCGCTGCAGTTGTCGACTGCGCGCCACGTCCGCGCGGACGTAGCGGATGGCCAGGCCCACGCGCCGCAGCCCCGTGAGGTTGGGCCCGGACCAGTGAAGGGTCCTGGGCACCGTTGCAGTACGTATGCTCATGCACGTGTATATCTAAACAACATCTGTATGTGTCTGTCTATGTATGCATGGATGTATGTATGTATGTGTGTATGTATGTATGTGTGTATGTGTGTATGTATGCATGTGTGTGTGTATGTATGTATGTATGTATGCGTGTATGTATGTATGTATGTATGTATGTATGTATGTATGTATGTATGTGTGTGTATGTATGTATGTATGTATGTGTGTATGTTTGTATGTATGTATGTATGTGTGTGTGTATGTATGTATGTATGTATGTATGTATGTATGTATGTGTGTATGTGTGTATGTATGTATGTATGTATGTATGTGTGTATGTGTGTATGTATGTATGTATGTATGTATGTGTGTATGTGTGTATGTATGTATGTGTGTATGTATGTCTGTGTGTATGTATGTATGTATGTATGTATGTATGTATGTATGTATGTATGTATGTATGTATGTATGTGTGTGTGTATGTCTGTGTGTATGTGTGTATGTATGTATGTGGTGTGTGTATTATGTATGTCTGTGTGGATGTATGTGTATATGTGTGTATGTATGTACGTGTGTATGTTGTGTTGTATGAATGTTGTTTAGTATGTGTGTATGTATGTATGTAGTTCTCTATGTATTGTATGTGTGTATGTATGTTGTGTGTGTGAGCTTGTATGTGTGTGTGGTGAATGTTATGTTATGTATGTATGTATGTCTGTGTGGTATGTATGTCTGTGTGTATGTATGTCTGTGTGTATGTTATGTGTGTGTGTTGTATTGTATGTATGTTTGTATGTGTGTATGTATGTATGTGTGGAAGAATGTCGGTGTGTATGTATGTCGTGTGTATGTATGCGTGTGTGTATGCATGTTGTTGTGTAGTTTGTATGTCTGTATGTGTGTATTGTATGTATGTATGTATGTATGTATTGTGGTGTAATGATATATGTATGTATAGTGTGTATGTATGTAGTGTGTATGTGTGTATGAACTGTCTGTATGCATGTGTGTGTGTTTGTCTGTGTGTATGTATGTCTGTGTGTATGTTGATGTTTGGTGTGTAGTATGTTGTATGGATGTGTGTAGTATGTATGTGTGTATGTATGTTGTGTATGTATGTATGTGTGTATGTTGTCTGGGTTGTATGTATGTTTGTGTTATGTATGTATGTGTGTATGTATGTATGTGTGTGTATGTCTGTGTGTATGTATGTGTGTGTA